AGCTCAGATAAACCCGCACCATTCACTCATCACCTGGCAACCCTGTCTGCACGTCTCTCGCGCGCATGAACAGGGCAGACCGTGTCCTGATGTGATCTGCACGGGTGAGTCACGTCAGCGTCAAAGGAGCGACGTGCGACCTGTCAGAGCTTGATCACCGATCACAGCTGCCTCTGCGCGTCCTGGGGATGTACCTTTGTCGCGCGCCGGAGACGACTCGACGCCGCTGAGATCGGAGATCAAGCTCTGACAGGTCGCACGTCGCTCCTTTGACGCCGACGTGACTCACCCGTGCAGATCACATCAGGACACGGTCTGCCCTGTTCACGCGCGCGAGAGACGTGCAGACAGGGTTGCCAGGTGAGAGCGAATGGCGCGGGTTTATCGAGCTCCCCTCGCGCAAGGACCACATTTCTGACTCCCACTGCGAGCATATCCCGCCCTGTCATGTCGTTGCTCAGGTCCACTCTCGTTTCGAGCACTTGTACCTCAACTGTCGGTGTTGGCACTGGGGTTCCCTTCGGGTATATCGTGACAGGCCACATCATTGCAACAGCCCGAGGAAAGCAAACATGTAATTCTTTTTCCTTCCCTTGTCGTGCCAGTGTGCTAAAGAAAGAAAGAAAACAGGCAACCCAAGGGAGGGATGGGAGGACGGTACGCCGCCACCACACAGGGATTTTAGGGGAGAAGTGTGGTGTTAGCCGTCGCCCACCCTCGGGCGTCTACCACTTCCTATCTCTCTCCGCAGTTTATCACCAATTCTTGCAGCGACCTTCATGCCACCTCGCATTCTTCTCACTCTCGTCGTTCTCTCTCCTGCTGTCTCTTCCCCTGACTCATCGCTCTCCTCGGCCTCGTTCTGAGACGCCGCTGTCGTCTGCCGATCTCTTGCTCTCGCTGCTTCTCTCGCCTTTCTGCGTAACTCCGCTCTCCTCTCCGCGTATTTTGGTCCCTCGAGTTTATCGAGCATTCCTCGCGCAAGGACCACATTTCTGACTCCCACTGCGAGCATATCCCGCCCTGTCATGTCGTTGCTCAGGTCCACTCTCGTTTCGAGCACTTGTACCTCAATGGTCGGTGTTGGCACTGGGGTTCCCTTCGGGTATATTGTGACAGCTGACGGCGGGATTTCCACTTTTGTTTCGTCCTCCTCGGGGTCGTCTTCCCCGGCTTCCTTGCGTTCGGCGTGGCTTACCCTCCATGCCGTGAACAGGCGCTTTATCCACTCTATATTCTTCTCTCGTTCCTCTGCCCGTGCCTTGGTCTTGTCGTTGTTTCGCACCCATGTCTGTATGGCCATCGAGGCTGCCTTCCCCACTACCTGTAGTTCACTCGTCACCTCTCCCGCGAGCTCCCCTCTCTTTCTTTCGGTTATGGTGTCCGTGAGTGCGGGCAGCGTGCAGGCAATCACGGGCGCTATTTTGTCGTACTCCCCTTCGGCGAGCGCTCCGAATCTAGACCCCATTGCCTTTAAGGAGGCTGCCCTCGCGCGTCTCAGGAATGTAGCGGTGTCTTTTGAGTCCGGCGCCGCCCGTTCGACTATTGCTGTCGCCCTCGCCGTGTGTTTGTCTAGCTTCCGCATGAAGTGACGCGCCTCTTCCTTATTTCCAGCGCAGCTGCCGCTCAGTATGTGCCAGTGTGCTGTGAGAGAGGCTTGTATCTTAAGAATTCTTTTTCCTTCACGGCACTCAGCCACCACCATGCTCGCGCTCGCGCTGGCGCTCGCGTCCTCGGCCTTCTCGCTGCGCCTACCGTCGCAGCCTCCCGCCGCTGCCGCGCACGTCGCGCTGCGCCGCGCCCTCGCGCCGCCTCGTACGGCGGTGGCGGCGGCGGCGGCAACCTCCACTCCATTCGAGTTTGACGAACTGGGCGACAGCTGGAGCGCGAGCGGGGGCTCGTCGGTGGGTGTGCTGCTCCTCTCTGTCGGCTCGCCCGAGACGCCCGACGACGTCGAGGAGTACCTCTACAACGTGTTTTGCGACCCCGAGATTGTGACGCTGCCGCCGCTGCTCTCGTGGCTCAAAAAGCCGCTCGCGTGGTTCGTCGCAAAGTCGCGCGCGGCCGAGGCGCGCGCAGCGATGGCGGAGGTGGGGGGCGAGTCGCCGCAGGTGGGCGCCGCCGCCGCCGGCCGCCGCCGCCGTCCCCTTCACAGCGGCACGTCATGCGGGAGTAGGTTGCGACGGTGCGGCGGCAGGCAGAGGCGCTGCAACGCACGCTGGTGGCGCGCGGCGTGGACGCGTCGCTCTTCATCGCGATGCGCTACTGGCGGCCCTACGCTGAGGAGGCCGTCGCTCAGATGAAGGCGCAGAACGTGACGCGGTTGGTGATACTGCCACTGTACCCGCACTTTTCCATCTCCACGTCGGGGTCGGCGCTGCGCGTGCTGGAGCGGATGCTGTACAACACGCCCGGCTTCCCCACAAAGTCGACCGTCGTCCCCTCCTGGTTCAACCGGAAAGGGTACGTCGATGCGTCGGCGCGCGCCGTGCAGAAGGCGCTCGCCTCTCTGCCCGAGGCGGAGCGGCAGACGGCGCAAGTCGTGTACTCGGCGCAGGGGCTGCCGCGCAAGTACGTCGAGTTCCTGGGCGACCCGTACCTCGGCCAGGCGGGTGGCCGCTGAATGGTCGGGTAGGGGTCCTCAAGCCTCACCTGGCGAGTATTGACCACCCAGGTGGAGAGCGGCGTAGCGCTGCTGTCGGAGGAGCTGCGCGCGCGCGGCGTCTCCAACCCGCACACGCTCTCGTACCAGGGGCAGGTTGGCGCCCGCCCGCCGTCCCAATCCCGGCGCCTCCACCCACGCATCCATCGATAACTACATGGGCAGGTTGGAGACAGCACGCACGCACGCACGCACGCACGCACGCACGCACGCACGCACGCACGCACGCACGCACGCACGCACGCACGCACGTACGCACGCTCGCACACGCACGCACACACACACACGCTCGTTTTGCACACGCGCAGAGCAGGGCTCGCACACTTCCGTAGGTTGGCCCGTCGGCCGTCCCGTGGACAGAGCCCTCCACGGCGGACGTCATCACGCAGCTCGGCGCGGACGGCACGCGCGCGCTCGTTCTCGTCCCAATCTCGTTCGTATTCGAGCACATGGGCACGCTCAACGAGATGGACCGCGAGCTCGCCGCCGTCGCCGAGCAGGCGGGCATCACCTCCTTTGCGCGCGTCGAGACGCTGGGCACCGACCCCGACTTCATCGACGCGCTGGCGAGCGTGGTCCAGGAGGCGCTGCCCGACCTCAACCAGCCATCGATGCAGATCATCAATCAGGGCGAGCCATAGCCGAGATGCCGCCGAGGAATTGCCACGATGCGGATCATCAAAGGGTGGTTGAGACTAGGCGAGCCTGTCGCGCTGAACGTGGTCAACGAGTACGTCTCCCTCTACACCAAGGACCAGCTGCAGCTCGTGCCGCAGGAGCGGCCGTGGGGCTTCACCGAGGAGGCGGAGGTCCTCAACGGGCGGCTGGTGCGCCTCGCCTCCTCGCCGGCGGCTCCGCCGCGCCGCACAGACACACATACACTTGCTTGACTTCGCATACGCACCCCGCCCGCCCCGGCCCGCCCTGTCCCTTCCGCTGCCGCTACCCTCACCGCGCAGCCGTTCTCTCGCCCAACGCTGAGCTCACGCCCGCTGCCCCCGCTGCAAGGCGATGACGGCGATCACCATCTCCGTCGCGCTCACGGCGGACCCCACGCTCAAGGCGATCGTCGCCACGTACCGCGCCGCGCAGCAGGCGCTCCCCAGCTAGGACCGCTCTACCGGTCTACGTTTGCTCGTTCCTTTGTGCTTGTGCACGTGGCGCGAATACGGCTGCACGCAATGGCTAAACTAGGTGTCTTGTGTGTGACATTTCCAAAAAACTGCGAGACCGCCGCTCCCGTGTGGCCAAGTGGCACGGTAAACGGCCGCAGCGGATGCGGAACGGCTGCAAGACAACACACACTGTGCCAACGCACACACGCGCCCGCCAAGCGCCATGCAGGACGTGGCCAAGGTGAGCGCTGTCCTGAGAGCTGCACAAGGGGTTGAGCGTCCCTCTCCTGCTCGGCTCCATCAAGTTACATCACCGAAGTAAGAGCAACGTGACCGAAGTGACCAAAAGTCTGGAAGGCCACGCGCGCGCCATAGCTCCCTGAGAGCACAAGTCAACAGGGTACACAAAGGTAGCCGCGCTGCACGAGCCGGCGAGAGTGGCATCCCAGGCAGCCCAGGAGCGCGGCGTGCTCTCCTTGCTTGCACGCAGCTGCAACAACAGTGTTGCCTCTCAGATGCAGTCCCTGGGTGGTAAGGACACTATGTGTGTGTGTGTGGCCGTCGACTAGACGGCTGCGCGGTCGTCGGTCTTCAACAGCCCCCCATCCTCGCATCGGGTAGCGAGGCTGAGGATCTGAAGAAGCTAGACGACTCCTACATCTCCTACTATCGCGCGCACAATTGCGCAGCCTCCTCAAGGGTGGAGGACAAACATACAGGTGACTCGGGGAGCTCCAGGAGCGCCCATACTGCCGGTTGTCGACTACATTTGATGAAGGGGAAGTCGGCGTTTCCCCTCTGTGCCGTCCTAGGCGGTGTCGTTCATGATCTCCTTGCGGAACGACTCGAACTCCTTGCGCGGGAGCGGCTTGGTGAAGAAGTCGGCGAAGTTCTTGAGGCTCTCGACGTACTCGACCTTGACCTCCCCGGACTCGACGAGCTCGCGAATCTTGAGCTCCTTGCGCAGGATGTGCTTCGTCTTGTCGTGCATGACCGGGTCCTCGGCGACGCGTAGCGCGGCCGTGTTGTCGATCTTGATGACGGTCGGGCCCTTGGGCTTGTAGCCGAGCGACGCGAGGAGCGAGCGCAGGTGGACCGCCTCGCAAGCCGCCAGCGTGCCGGCAGAGATCTCGGCCTCGAACGTCGAGAGGGAGATGTGACCCTGCTTCTTGGAGAAGTACGAGATGATCGCGGTGCCGATCTTGAAGGCGCAGCCGGAGGTGCTCTGGCGGGTGCACCAGTTCGCGTCGGAGCAGCCGAAGAGCTTGGGGTCGGCAACGCGCTCGTAGTGGAGGCCGAGGTCCTGCGTGCCGATGAGGTAGATGAGGCAGCGCTCGGCGGCGGCCTCGATGTTCGCGTCGGGCCAAGCCATGCAGCGCGCCAGCTGCGAGACGGTGTACTGGATGTCGGGGCGCGCGTTGGTGGCGAACATGAGGCTGCCGATGAGGCACTGGCAGCGCTGGAGGAGCTGCGGGTCGGGCGCGGTCTTCTTCTCGGCTGCGCTGATGACGATGGACGGGAGGTCCTTGTCCGCGGGCACCTTGTAGCCCGCGTGCGTGACGCCCGACGGGAAGAAGCGCGCGCGCGCAGCGTGTCGATGTACTTGCTGGCAGACAGCTTGAAACCGGTCTGCGTCTTGGTGATGGTGAGCCCGAGGAACTCGTGCACCTTTCCCTCGTGGACCTTGAGCGGCTTGCCGACGTGCTTGTTGAAGTGCTCGATGTACTCGTGCGCGAGCGCTTTGCCAGCGGTGGTCCCGGAGTGGAAGATGCCGAAGTCGTCCACGTAGATGACGACGATGAGTTTCGTGCTGTCGTCGTCCTTGACGGCGTTCTGCAGCGCACCGTAGAGTTGGCGGGACAGGGACACCGCCAGGTCCCCGAAGTACTTGTCGATCGTGGCCGGGATGAGGCCGTCCGCAACGCCGACGTTCTTGTAGCGCACGTGCAGCGCGACCGCCTCGGCCTCGCGCTCCGCGCCCGGCCGGATGGTGCCCACCTCGATGATGTCGAGGAGGTACTTGTGTTGCTTCGCCGCGGTCCGCAGGTTGCGGAGCCACTCGTTGAACTCCCGCTCGGAGCCCTGTTTGTAGGCCGGAATCACCAGCTTGTCCGTCGACGACATGTTGTCGTAATGTCCCGGGGATCGTTGCCCCGCCGCTACCAACTGTGAAGGTCTTCAGTGACCACTCACAAGCTGTTCCAAGGCCCGACAGAAATGTACTGTCAAAACTTTGTTCAAACAAAAGTCCTGGCCCGCGGCCCCCACACCCACAATGACTATCAATCCAGGCTGCGGGTGAAGGGCAAAACCGCGCCGCTGCAGAACGGTTTTTGCAAAACCGCGCCGCAGCGGTACGAAACTGCGCAGATGCAGTCCAGGGGTGGTAAGGACACTATGTGTGTGTGTGTGGCCGTAGACTAGACGGCTGCGCGGTCGTCGGTCTTCAACACACCCACAGGCGAGATGGCGGCCTTCCTCGGCATCTCGCGCACTTCGCCCGGCTGGAAGTACGTCATCACCGAGGGTCCGCGCATCGGCACCACCACACAAACGACCTTCTGCGTCAACGAGCTCTGGAACGGCATCGAGTACCGTGCTCCTACCTCCGACCTCACCCCGACGGACATCGAGGGCGCCTGGCCGGAGCTTGTGGCCGCGGACGAGATGCCCGACGAGTCGGACAAGGCTACGCTCGACAACAACGTGACCCGCGGCGACTCCGTCTTCCTCCCCACCACCGACAACCACGCCGGGGGGCTGACCCTCGACGAGGAGGTGGTGATCATGCCAGACCCGGCCAACGACGGCAAGCCCGCTGCCGGCGGGCCGATCGGAGAGCTGGTAGTCGTGGTACTTGGAGCACTTGGAGTGCAGTCATCAACCTCACATCCAGGGCCAGGGAGCTAAGCGCGAGCGCACCCAGCTCGAGCCGGATGATCGGCATCGGGCTACGGGCTAGAGAGCCCTGACCCCTAGCTAGGGGGGGTGCGCATTCGCAGGGAAAGGGCCGTAAAGTAAACACGGGTCTCCGAGGGTTAGTTCCGTGTACCGGGTTTCCCTTTGTGGTACCACCAGGCTCGCCATCGCGCCCGAGACAGGCCGCTCTGGCCCCGTAGACCTTCCCAGAGAGCTTGGCGAGGCTGTCCAGAATGCCGAGAGCATTCTGAGCAGGCTGCCGTCGAGCGACGAGCCATGCTGGCTCGTCGCAGGCTGCGAGCTCGAAGACCCGCGCAGAGCGTCGCCGAGCCTGGCGTGCCCGCCCGCTCGCCCGCGGCCGCAGGCGTGGAAGCCAAGCATCCTGGCGTCCATGGCAAGCGCTCACATGCCAAAAGACACCTCGCACCGCGCGAGACGTGACCGAAACGGCACGCCTCGGCGCCGCGAGAGCAGCCGGTCGACGTCGCCACGTCGGCACCAAGCGCGCGGCCGCCGGGCGCCTCCGAACCGACAGGGGCGCCGCGGCAGTAGAGAGCACTCCACCGCCATACCGTTTTGGCGCCGGTATCAAATGTGATGTTGAATGTTGGAATCGGGAAAAGAATTTTACAACAAAACTCCCTCGCACAACACTGGGCACGGGACTGGCGCGCACTGGCACTTACACAGGTACACTCGGGAAAAGAATTGCAAGAGCCCCGCGCCTCCACACCGCTCCACACGTCGAGGCCCCTCGGAAAAAATGCAAGACGGCGAGGACATCACTCGCGACTCCTTCGAGGCTGCGGCGGCGGCGCTCGAGGCGCTGCTCGCCACGGCGGAGTTTGTGGCTGTCGACGCGGAGTTCACAGGCATTAAACTGCCGGGGACAGTACCGCAAGACCATGACTCGACGCAGGCGCGCTACACCAAGATGCGGAGGGTGGCGTCCGAGTTCTCGCTCGTCCAGCTCGGAATCTGCACCTTCCACCGCCCTCCGCCGGGCGGCGCCGCCGCAGGGAGCGCGCTGCAGGCGCGACCGTTCAACTTCTTTGTCCGCCGCGCGGCTCCGAGAGGCGGAGACAAGGTCGTCCTCGACTGCAGCACCGCCGAGTTTCTGCGCGGGCAGGGCATCGACTTCAACCGCTGGCTCGACCACTCTGTCCCCTACCGCTCCACCGCCGACGCGGCGGCGGCGGCGGCGGCGGTGCGGCAGCGCGTAGCGGCACAGGCCGAGGCTGACGCCGAGCGGCGGGCCCAGGGGAGGGTCTTCTCGCCCTCGAGGCCCGCGGAAGCCGCCTTTGTGAACGAGGCGATGGAGCGGGTCGCCGCGTGGGTGGCGAGGGCGAGGACGCAGCACGCGAGCGGCGCACCGCCGGAGCCGCTCACGCTGCCAGAGTGCAACGGCTTCTTGCGCAAGTGCCTCTACGCTGCCATTGAGCATGCGCACCCGCCGGCGGCCCACAAGTGGCTGGTCACCGAGTCGCTGGAGGGCGAGGGGGGAGGGAACAAGGCGGTGCGGCTGCGCGTGCGGCCCGCCGAGGAGGCCGCGGCGGAGCCCTTCTCCCCCGCCATGCACGCGGAGGCGCAAGTGGCCGAGAAGCTCAGCAAGCTGCGCGAGTCGGAGGGCTTCCTTCGCGTGTGGCGGGCGCTCGTGGCCGCAAAGGTGCCCGTCCTGGTCCACAATGGGCTGTTCGACCTCCTCTTCCTCCACGACGCCCTCATCGGCCCGCTGCCCGCGCCGTGCACGCAGTTCAAGGCGGCCGTGCACGCGGCCCTACCCG